ATGCTGACATGTGAGGATAGTGTGGCCCATTAGCTGATATCCTGGGAGGCACTTGAAGGTCACAGACTGTCTCACATTGTAGTCGGCTCCCCTTATGATGCCACTGGTGAAGGGCTCTGGGTCTGGGAACTCCTGAAGCTCACAGGCTAGAAGAGTATAGGAGAGAATGTGGCTTTATCCTCCCCCAGGTATCTTCTTGCGACCAGAATGCAGGAGCTGCAGAGACTGGCACAGTGGGGAAGCACCGAGACTTGGACACAGGAGGACTTTGGTCATTTACTAAAAGCTGTTGACGCTGGCTGAGTCATTTAACTGCTGTGCCTGTTTTTTTTTTTTAATTATTACATGGTTATTGTGAGGATACACAGGGCAACACTTGCACAACTGTTGGCACAACAGCTGCTCATGGTGAGAGCTCAGCAGAGGTGCCCCATCATTGGCATTTCCATGGGGAAAGGAAGCTCGGGGAAGCCACTGACCACTGCTATTTCTGGAGCAGCTCCTGGGGCCAGGCAGTGGACTCGGGTCCTCCGTGTTGGTCGCTGCATTTAACCTTCATTAGGGCCAAGGCCACAAACAAAAGCAGCAGTGGGGTGTACAGGGCTTTTGGACTCTGAGAACTCAGAACCTCTCAGGGAGGAAAGCAGGTGAACCTGGGATGAGGAGACAGTTTTCAGAGGGGTGGCTGGGCCACCAGGAGTGTGTAGCTGGCATTCCAGCCAGCCCCTCTGAGAAACCAGAAATCTGTTTCCATGAGAATGTGCAGCCCTGACTCAAAAGGACATGCCCAGATGTTAAATCGCCGAGGCCACCCCAATGGGGGAGGCCACCAATGGAGCTGTAGGGCGGGGCCCACAGGACAAGGAACAGCTTTCCTGGCAGGCATCCAGCACAGAAAACCACCAGCAGAAGGAGCTGGAACATGCTTACAGTAAAGATTCTTCATGGAAGTAGCTGAGACTAAATGGCGGCATCTAGCAGGAGATGCCTTTATCAGATGAAATAACACCACAAAAAGAAACGATCACATTTCTAGGCAACTGTGCTGTTTCTGTTTGCTGTCACCCAGGGCAGGCTCTATGGCAAGAACCTGGCAGGTGTCACTGTGAAGTCACCCAGCTGGCAGGGCATGTTAAAGAACGGGGAAGCCTCGATGGGTATGGGTGGGTCCAAGGGGAGCCACAGCTCTGTCAGGGGGTTAGGGCTGAGGGTGGTGGGCACCGCAGTGGAAGCAGGGAGCCTGTTGCCCTAGGAATCACTGGACCAGGACAGCCTGGGCCTTTAAGAATGCCTCCCTGAGGAACATGTGGTGCACAGCAGCACAGGCGAGACCCATACCAGCACCAGATGTGGCCTGCAGACATGCCAGGCTTTTGAGAGAGAGGGGACAGCGTCAGTGACATCAGCAATGTGGTGCCTGGGTTCCCAGGGAGAGGCAGGGCCTCTGGGGGCAGAAATGACCCTGAGGACAGCGGCTCCTTAGCTTTCCCAAAGAGAGACTCCTGCAGGAGATGAGGTGGGTTTGTACTGAAGGGAGACGCTGCAGTGGGTGTGGAGAGAATTTCAAACACAGCGCACACTTTAAAACGGGGGGGGGGGGGGGGCGCAGCACTGTGGTGTAGCAGGTAAAGTTGCTGCCTGCAGTGCTGGCATCCCATATGGGTGGCAGTTCGATTCCCGACCGCTCCACTTCCTATCCAGCTCTCTGCCATGGCCTGGGAAAGCAGAAGATGGCCAAAGTGCTTGGGCCCTTGCACTCATGTGGGAGACCCAGAAGAAGCTCCTAGCTCCTGGCTTCAAATCAGCACAGCTCTGGCTGTTGCGGCCAGTTGGAGAATGAACCAGCAGATGGAAGACCTCTTTCTCTCTCCTCTCTGTAACTCTACCTGTCAAATAAATAAATAAAAATCTTAAAAAAATTTTTTATTTTATTTGAAAAGCAGAGTTACAGACAGTGAAGGGAGAGAGAAAGGTCTTCCTTCCGTGGTTCACTCTCCAAATGGCTGCAATGGCCGGAGCTGCACTGATCTGAAGCCAGGAGCCAGGTGCTTCTTTCTGGTCTCCCATGTGGGTGTAGGAGCCCAAGCACTTGGGCCATCCTCCACTGCCCTCACGGGCCACAGCAGAGAGCTGGATTGGAAGAGGAGCAACCGGGACTAGAAGCAGCATCCACATGGGATGCCAGTGCCGCAGGCGGAGGATTAACCTAGTGCACCACGGCCCCGGCCCATAAATAAATCTTTTAAAATAATTCCAAAAAAAAAGATAGGTATTTCATTGTTGGAATTTAGCATCTCCGCAAGGGCTCTGTCTTCCCGTGAAGTCGCTATGGCCTGATGTTTCTGTCCCACCAGAATCTGTAACTGAGGCCTCCTCCTTCACATGGAGGTGTCTGGAGGAGGGGCTCTTTAAGGGTGGGTGGCACTGGCTTCCTTATACAGGAGGCCTGGGTGTGGGTGCTGGAGGAAGTGGCTAGGCCATCACTTGGGACACCCACCTCCCACCCTGTGGTGCCTGGGTTTGAGTTCAGGCTCTGCTTCTGAGCCCAGTTTCCCTGCCACCCACTTGCGAGCCCCACATGGAGCTCCTGGCTTCAGCAGGGCTCAGACTCAGCTGTTGGGGACATTTAGGGAGTGAACCCAAGCACAGGAGTTCTCTCTTTGCCTCCTCTGTCTTGCGTTCTTTCAATTAATAATAATAATAAAAAGTCCAGAGAGAACTACTCTACTCCTCCTGTCAGTGAGGACACACTGACAGGGGCTACCTGTGAACCAAGCGCTGCCCCCAAACACACACAAGGACTCTGCCTGACCTCAGGTTTCCCAATACCCAGAGCGGGAAGAAGCACAGTTGTGCTATTTATCAGCATCCCCAGCTCCTGGGGGTTTGCTAATACAGCCTGAGGCAACTCAGGATTCACTCAGAACCCATTTGCAATGCTTTCATTTTTAAGAAGGACATGTTTTGCATTAGAAAGGATGTCTACAAACAAGACAAAGAAGCAGTGGAACAATCTGGGAAGGGCTTAGAACAGAGGGCTCCTTAGCAGCACCAGGGAAGCATCCAAGGGAGACAGAGGACCTACTCGGGGCCGCCCCACAGGGTTACACAGGCTGGGCACAGGGCTCCACAGCCGCAGGCGTCAGATGGCCCATGGCTCAGGGAAAGCCTGAGGTGGAGAACGGAGGTCCTTCCAGGGAATATGTGCTTTGAGGAGAGGGGCCTGTCAGGGTTTTCCCTCAGGCAAGGCAGAGCCGCAGTGAGGGTGGCTGAGCCTCACCCAGGAAAGCCCTGTCTGGGGCAGGCTTAGTGGGTGCTCCTAGGACTCTCAGAGAGCCCCTGACACTGCCACAGGAGGAGCTCTGTGGCCAGGGAAGGGCCCAGAAGGATGAATTCCACTGCTGAACCTGGGGGGAGTGGTTGATGGCATGGCAGTGAGAAGGGACAGCCGGCCACTTGCCCGGTGACAGCTGCCGGCCACGGGGTGGAACCCTGGAGGCTGCCCCTCTAGAAGAGGCTGCGGGTAACACATGCGGCCAAGAGCGTGAAGCCACCATTGGGCCTGCCGCCCCCTCCCTGCCATCTCCCCTGCCCACACGAATGTGGGCTAGGAAGGTGCCTGGAGTATGTCTGTCCTTACTCTGGTACTCTAGCTTGAATCCCAGCCGGGAGTGGTCACTGTGGAAGTACATGGTGTGACTGGTCTTGTATGGGCCATTGTGGAGTTCCATGAAGTCATGGTTGGGCTCAGTGGAGAAGTTCAGGAACTGGATGTGAGCTCCTGGGAGTGAGACAGAGACAGCTAGTGCCCAGAGCAACCCAGCCCACTCCACCACCTGGCCTGTCCTCTCCCGCCACAGCCCATGTTCCCACTCCTCACTCCCCTCTCTGGATCCTGTCTCCAGGCACCACTGGAAAGTCCATTATTCATTCGAAAGGAAAGGCACTGGTCATTTCAGAGACTCCACCCCATGTGCATTGTGTTTTATTGAGGACAAAGCCCAGGTAAACACTTGCTGTGATCACGCTTCATCTATTATCAGTAGAAAGACAGTTTTATCCAATAAACTTTTTACTTAAAAATAACATCCACCCTGGGGCAGAAGACACACCTCCAACAGTCATACTTTCTAGGCTGTTTAAGACAACCCAGAAGCATAAGGCTTAGCAGCTCATGCATTTCCCAACCATTCCCTTCCAAGTTCCAGGCAGGTGCTCCTGGGGTCTCAGTGGGTTAATCTAGATTTAACAACCTGACAATTTACGTGAATCCAATTAGACCCTTAAAGTACAAATGAATGTACTCCTTGGAGGTGGGAGTATTAAAATGTGTTTACTGATGAGATTTTTCTAAATTAGACTACTCTGGAACACATTATTCAAGAGATACATTTACCGTGAAAATTGGCTGCATAGGGGCCGATACTGTGGTGCATCAGGTTAACAACCTGGCCTGAAGCGCCAGCATCCTATATGGGCACTGGTTTGAGACCCAACAGTTCCACTTCCAATCCAGCTCTCTGCTATGGCCTGGGAAAGCAGTAAAAGATAGCTCAAGTCCTTGGGCCCCTGCACCCATGTGAGAGACCCAGAGGAAGCTGCTGGCTCCCAGTTTCAGATCCGTATCAGCATAGCTCCGGCCACTGCGGCCAATTGGGGAGTGAACCATGGGATGGAAGACCCTCTCTCTCTGCCACTGCTCTCTTTATGTAACGCTGTCAAATAAATAAATAAATCTTAAAAAAAAAGAAAATTGGCTGCAAAATAACATACAAAATACCATTAGGATGTTTATGTAAAAACCTAGTCAAAAATCTTCACCCGCTTGCTCACAGCAGCTCCCAGGCACCTGCCAGGCCTTTGGGCTGTGTGAGGCTTCAGGAGGGCCCCACCTCCATAGGAGGACTCTCTAACACTGGGAACTAGTATGTCGCTGAAAATCCAGTGTGTGTGTGTGTGTTTTTTTTTTTTTTTTTTTTTTTTTTTGTCTGATTAAATACAGATCCGAGTGTGGGGCTGGAAAGCACAGACTCCATGCGTGATAGGTGTGAAGATCACTGCAAAATTACCTGCAATATGTAACAGTCTCTGCTGTACTTGATGTACAAGGCTGAAAACCCTTTGTCTCCTGCCCTGTCCCACCCTACTGTGTCCCTCCACAGAAGCTATCCTTTGCATGGGTTTGGAAGGCATCCTTCCAGCTCCTGGGTGTAGATTCTGAAATACGTACTGGGGTTTCTGGGTTTTAAACACGTACATGCATGGCACTATAATAACATACAAAAACTAGCACTCATTCATTTTAACTCCATCATGTGAGCTGTTTGACAGTATAAGTCACTCTTAGTGAGCAGACCCTGTTACAGATGGCAGGTAATTTTGCAGTGAGCCTCTTTGCAACCTATCACCCACAGAGCCTGTGCTTTCCATCCCCACACTATGATCCCTGGGGCCCTGAGGAATCCCACAGGCTTCTGAAGGTTGAATTTGTGAAATGTGCAAAAAGGACTGGCCCATGACCTCCACCTAGTGGCAGCAACTTGTAAATGCAGGGGCCCTTTACACAAGGAAACCAGGTACCACAATTCTAAGCCTGGTGAGTAGTTCAACACTCACTTGTAGTTAAAGGATTCTGGCAGCTGCGACTGGAGCCTGCAGTAGTGTCTTCCCCAGAGCTTGCTTAAGCGCGCTGGTGGCTGAACACAATGGCTTACCCACAGCAGCCCTCCCATCTGAACTCGCTTGCCTTGAGATTCTCCTCGCCCTCCATCATCTAAGGCTCCACTGCCCTCAGCCTGCAGGCAGAACTACAGGGTCTCCCAGACACCCCCTTCCTCGGTGTCTCAGAATCTGGAGTCTCTCAAGACTGCCAAAGCTGTCATCACTGTGTGCCTGGCGTCTTTTGGCAGATGGGACCTGGTCATTAAGACCCCAACCTTCAGAGGGTCACCAATCCCTCTGCTCTTCCAACCAGATTTAGAGAAGCCCAGTTAGGCTGCTTCCCTCTTCCGGAACCTGAAGACATACTCCCACTCCAGACTGTAGAGGAAAGGACAAAAGGGGCCCTCTTCATGCCTCAGCCTCCTGGGATGCAGAAACTCCATGGTGTGGGCAGAGTAGTCTCCAAGTGCAGCCCTTTTGATCCGTGCCAGTGCAAAGCCTTTACTTCTCCAACCAGAGATATCTGGGGAACAATACACGCATCGCCAACCATCAAATTTTGCACCCAGCTCAGTGCCCTCCCCACAGGATCATCCCCTGTGCCTGGAACACTTCCTCCCTTTCCTTCCTGCCCCCTCCAAAACCACCTCTTGATCTCCAGCCAGCTAGAACGTGTGCAGGAAGAATGCAAACTCAATTTCATATTGACCTTGGCTCAATTTAATTAGGAAGATAAATCGGATGGGGAGTTCAAAGCAAAACTTGAGGTTCGGTCTCTGTAATATAGATTATTGTTTCTTTTATTTTTTAAGCATCCCTGAGCAACTCCTCATTCCACATTCCTGGATTTTAGTTCCTTGCTCCAGGGATAATAACAGAAATCCCTACGATTTCTCCCCTCCCCCATACTTTCATCTCTGTCGTTCTCCATGGAGCCTCACGATGGCACAGGGGGTAATGGGAGAGGAAACAGGCAGAATCTCTACAGACTCGACGGGGTTACAGTGGGGACAGCAGTACACAGCTGCTGAAGCCTGGGGCGTGGCATGAGCACTCATCTCCCAGAGCAGGCCAAGACTCACCAAAGCCCATGGGCAGTGTGATCTTCCAAGAGCAGTCCATGTTATTGGGGTAGTTGCCCAGGAAGCCAGGGCTCAGGATGACCCCCTCCATCTCCTCCACTGCTCCCCCACACTGTGCTGTGACAAGGAGGTGAGACCAAGGGTTAGGCCAGCATGGAGGCATGCATTGGGCCACACTGGTGGTCTAGAGCCCCCTTACAGCAGTGAGTTTTGACTTTCCTGAGTCACAAAGCTCTTTCAGAATCCAAAGGGGTCACCCTACAAAACTGCACACCCAGACCAAACTGAGTGAGTACATTCAGGGAAAGGTGCATAGCCCTAAACTGCTAGGAGTCCACAGATCCGGGAGAGGGGGGTCTTGGGCTTGATCACAGCCCTCATGGGTCCTTGCACCCAGGACCTGCAGGAAAAGCAGGGTGGGGCTGCTCCAGGTCCCACCACTTGATACACAGTCCCTCAGGTCTCCCTCACCTCACTGCCTGAACCACTCTTCTAAAATGGAGACAAATAGTGAAACAAGGAGGTGGCGGGCATTGTGAGCCTACTGCATGCCAGGGGCCAGGCTGGCCAGCAGGTGAGGCTCAGGACAGTGACTGGGCAGAATTCCAGGGGAGCCCCTGCTGGGCTGTCTGAGAAGCAGGGGTCGGGGCAGGGGCTGAGGATGCTGATTTCTGAGCCACCTGGGGATGCAGGACTGGGTGCCACTGTGGCCTGGTCAGTCGACCTCCTTTAGGAAAGGGTCATGTGAGCAGTAAGGGGCTGCCAGACACAGGGTCCAGGTGAGTGCCCTCTAGATCCGGGCAGCTCAGTGTGGTGTGGGCTCTGGCCTGGACCTGCTGGGGCACAACTGCAACTTTACTTCCTGTCTAAACCCCTCCAAACCTCAGTTTCCCTGACTGTACAAATGGAGCTAAGAGTAGCAGCTACTTCAGGGGGCTGTTGCGAGGTTCCAACAGAAAACACTGCATGTGGGACAGGCTTTGGTTAAGCTGCTGCCTGGGACAGCCGCATCCCACGTTGGTGTGCTACTGCACCGGGGAGGCAGCAGGTGTCGGCTCAAGTAGCTGAGTCCCTGCTACCCATGCAGGAGACCTGGACTGAGTTCCAGGTTCCTGGCTTTGGCTTGCTTTAGTCCCGGCCTTTGCCAACCTCTGGGGAGTGAACCAGCGGATGAGGAATCTGTGTGTGTCTCTGAAAGCACTGCATGTTACTTGCGACAGGGAGGCCACACCCAGCAAACCTCAACAGACAGCAGCCACTGTAGATGTGATGGCTTGGCAGGGCCTCGGCAGGACCCTGGGGGAGCCCAGTCACCTTGCTGCCCTGCTCTGCAGAGGACCGAGCCCTGGCCCCCAGGGAGAGGACTTCACTTCCCATGCCAGGCCTGCTCTGAGGGCTCTTTCCTACCCGCTGGGCATCCGAGCACCTGGGTTTCCTTTTGTGACTCTGCCACTTTCTTCTCCACCCCCGAGCACCTTCAACCTCCTATCTATAACTAGAGGATACCGATTCCTCCTCCTAAGAGCCACGGGGAGGAAGTATGAGCACCAAGCCTTGCACACAATAGATACTCAATAAACACTCGCTTCCTCCTTCCCTGACCTGACCAGAAGCTTCTGGAGTGGACGCCCTGTCTTCTCCTGTTTCCGCTGATCTCATCACTGCTCAGCAGAGGCTAGGACACAAAGCCAAACCAAGTTCACCCAGAATCCTCAGCATTTCACTGCTGCTACTGCATCTTCTCAATCTCACAAAAAGTCAAAATCCCAAGTCCCTGGTAACTCCACTTGGGACCTGGGTCATTATCTGGAACCAGAACAGTCACTAGAACATTTTCCATTGGGCATACCTGTGGGTCTTCATCTGGTGGGCAGAGGTCTCCAAGTCACAACACCCTTGAGTGACAACAAAAACAGGGGTCTTTAAGGACTGACTTGGCACAAATCGACTTGGACTTGAACTCCATGATAGGCTACTGAGCTCAAAGCCCTGGGGGCGTGGGTTTGAGTGGATGAGGGTCTGGGCTCTCTTACCAATGCAGAGGAGGGTAGTTCCAGCGCAGAATGGTCCCCGGTATGCAGGAGATGTGCGCATGGCTCTGGGGGTTTCAGGAACAGGGCTGAGCTAAGCTGCCCATCAGCACAACCCCACATACAGCCTGGACCAGGGGCTTGCCCAGGACTTTGTGTTGAGGAACAAGAGACACAAAGGCACCCGGACACGCTGTGGGATGGGAGCTGAAGCAGAGGGAGAGGGCTGGGCAGGACAATCACTCACAACCATCACTAAGAAATTCTCATTACTGAAGGTTTCCTTGTGAGATTTCTTTAATTACGAAATTCCCTCATTATCTTCAAAGAAAATTAAATTTTCGTAGGGTCCAATCAAATCCAACTCTGCAGTAGCCCTTCTGAGGCGGGCTTCTGCCAACTCCTCCAGACCTCTTTTGCATGAACAGCTCCAGGGGGGGTCTGTTCCCTGATCCTTGAGGATTTGCGGGTGTATTTGCATCCCAGGGAACACCTGCTTCCTGCCCCGGGGGTGTCTGGGAGGAGGAGGTACCTGGAGGGCACAGCCCGGCTCACTGGAAAGAGACCACATCATTCACCAGGTAGCGCTGGCTGCTCTTCACCCCGTTACTGGGCACAGCGGGTTCTGGACAGCTGCTCAGGCCCATGGCTAGACAAGGTGGAGACAAAGCAAAGGGAGAATGGCAACGTCCTGCAGACCGAGGCAGTGGGAAGATGCTCCCATGGCGAGGCACTGCTATGGTTGGCTGTGTTTGTCCCCCAGTGGTCCATGTTTTGGGACCATGGGCCCCAGGGTGGTGGCACTGGGAGGCGAGGCCTAGTGAGAGGTCTTGGGTCACATGGGGGCATGCCCTGGAAAGAGATGAAGGTGCTTCTCCTGTCACTGTTCTAAAAGCCTGAGCCTGCCCTGCCCCACTCACTTCCACCCTTGGTGTCACCTTGACATGATGCAGCCAGGAGGACCCTTACTGGAACTGGGCTGATGCTAGCGTCATGCCCTTGAACCTCACACGCTGTGAATGACATATGCCTTTTTCTTTGTGAGCAGCCTGCCCCGGGGAACTTCATTATAGTAAAGAAGAAAAGGACCAGCACATGCACACGCAGATAGCACCGAGGCTCTGCAGACTCCAGATTCCTGGGGCAGGAAGGCGTCCTCCAGGGTCCTCTGGCTGCCTGGTCCACCTGCTGAGCTCGGGGTCAGGAGGAACCCCAGCCCCAGGCCGAACACCTCAGCACTGCCCTTCTCCCTCACCCTGCGGACAAATCCCAAGAGCCAAGACACAGAGGGAGATGCAGTAGGAGGGCACCTCTCTCCTAGATGCACCTCTGCGACGCTCAGGGGCTCAGGCTGAGCCCACAGGCCGGTGCAGGTGGTCCCGAGGCAGTCTGCCGAATTTCTCCTACTGTGTTCAAGGTCAGGACAGCTCCTGTCAGGGAGCAGCCGGTGGCTCCTTGCACTCTGCCTCCTGTGGTCTGCACTGCCCCTCTCATTCCATATCCGGCACCCGGACTGCTTCAGCCACCTCATCCTCACTGCCATCCAGTCCTGCTTAGCCTGTCCCCATGCACCAGGGCACTCCCTAGGCCACCACTCAGCCATCACACAGAGTCCACCCTTCTCATCCAGAGCCTTCACAAGCTTGGCCGGGGCCCTTCCAGCCTCACCTTCGTGGGCTCCTCACTCCTTGACTTTTCTACTCCAACCAGTGCTGACCCTGCCCTCCTTATATACCCGGCATTGCACAAAGCGATTTCCTCAGCATCCACCTCAGCCTTCCTCTTCCTCTTCCTTCCTGCTCAGGCCTTCCTCATGGAAGCAGCACATGCCCAGCAGGTTCCATGAGCAGGATGGGGCTTGCAGGTCTACACGTCCCCTCCTCCCCTTGCCACGGGCCACATCACCCTGTATCGCAGGAGAGGACCCAACTGAGGGAGGTTCCACATGTGACCTACGTAAGCCACAGAGCCAAGATTCAGACCATGCCCAATTTGACCCCAGCTCTGCCCAACAAGAGGACAAGGGCTGAGGCCACATGAGCTCATGCTCGCCCCTGTCCCCTGTGGCTCTCGCCTTCTCTCCTGAGATTGTCCTCACCCTGCTTTGAATCCCATGCTGGCTGACTCCCAGGCAGCAGGTAGCAGCATGGCATCTCCTGACGGGCAGCCTCTGCGCTTCTCCCATGCCCAAAAGGAGTGCATCTGCAGCTGCAAGCCCTTAAAAGGCACCAAGTAAATCTCTGTGTGTTGGAGTGGACTTGGCAAGGGCTGCAGGGCTCAAGGCGTGGCTGTATTCTGCCTGCCCAACCCAGAGCAAGGACAGCAGATGGGAGAGAAGGACAGGGAGCTAAGGTCTGTAGCTAGGTCTGACTCTAGGCATTTGCGGATGGCCCAGGGAGTTTGGATCAGGGGAGACTCTGCCCTCCTGGTGGCTGCCTTGGGAGATGCAGGCTGACTGGGGCACCATGCACCGGCAGGGAGCCCAGTGCTTGTGTAAAGGAGCGAGGAAGGACCCGTGAGCCTCGGCCCTCAGCCGCAGCCCCTCTTCCGTGCAGCAGATGGGCAGTCTTCCATTCAGGAGGCTCTGATAACTACATTGGCTTTTTATTTCTTCAGAGGGGAACTTACATACAATGAAACACACAAATTGCGTTCACACTGTCATGATTGGAAGTGTGCACGTGTTCTGAGTGTTGACACAAGTTAGCACCTGTGTCACCCAAACCCCTGTCAAAACTACAGAGCATTGCAGTCACTCCAGAAAACCCACTCACATCCTTCCCAGGCAGTTCCCAACCTGCATGTGAATGGGAAGCCTGGAAATGCAGTCCATTTTGGGGCCCATGTCCTGAAATCTCAGCATCTGACACAAAGGCCAAGGCCAAGGACTGGAAGATCATCAGAGTGTGTTTGCAAGGCCATATCTTGATGGGCCTCCTGTCTAATTCTCCCTGTTCCTCTCCATGCTTCAAGAAGAATAGCTGCTGTGTTTCTGTATGCAGGCTACAGGGGCAGGGCCCAGACTAGCTCAGTGCTTGCCAGTGACCAGCACCTGCCAGCCTGAGGTGCCCACGTGCCCCTACCTGGATGCTGGCACCTTCAGGGACCATGATCTTCCACACGCAGTTGAGACTGTTGAGGGAGGGCTCTGGGAAGCCAGGGGACAAGATGATGCCCCTGTGCTCTGTGAGGTTGCCTCTGCAGGGCACTGGGAGGGGATGCAGCTCTGGTCAGAGGCTCCTCCCACTGGACTCCAGGGCTCCCTACACAGACTTCTCCCTCAGGGCCCCCAGCCTCTGCCTGGGACTCCTCTGTGCTGATTTCTCTCTGTGTCCTCAGGAATACCTTCTTGTTCTGGCTTTGGCTTCTACCAAGGACTGGTCCCACTATACCCGGCTTCAGGGACCAGGACCCCAGGCATGCCTGCCCCAATACCCCAGCTCCTCCTCCTTGCTTTTCTCACACCAAGCCTCAGGACTATGGGACAGCCTCCCTATACCACACAGCTGGCAAGGGGCTGCCATGTGCCTGCAGGCATCTGCTGGGCCTGCTGCCTCCCCCAGGGAGAAGGGGCTGTCAGTGCCCCCACTCGCCGCCTTCCCTCACCTGGCCCCAGCTGTCCTGGTGGGTGCTCAGACATTCCACTGCACCAAGGCCCCTGGCACAGGGAGGCTCTTGATTTCTTGTGACCCCTGCAGGGCATAACCGGAAATGCATTCCAAGCAGATGACGGTACCCATGGAGAAGTCACTGCCCAGCCTCTTGCCATAGCAGGGTTCCTGCACAGAGCTGCACTGTGTGGCGCTGGTCCAGAGCATGGCTGCAGGGGACAAGGGCACTGAGGGGTGGGCCACATCCCTCCAGAAGCTGGCCCAGGAATGCAGATGATGGGACTGGAGCAGACAGCCTGCAGGGAGCCTGGGAGGCTTTGGCCACTTCCCTTAGGGCAGGGGGCGGGGCTCTTTGGATAGGGCCCACTGTACTGGAACTCAGCTTGGATGCACAGCATGGCTGTACAGCTTCTGGAGCCATGGAGTGGTTGCCATGGTAGTGTGATGTACCTGGTCCATCATGGGACCAGGTTCCCTAACAGGAGAATGGGCTTTCTTCTCGGCTCCCAGCACCTCCAGCCTGCCTCTGGCCTCTCCTCCCTGTGGGTCTTAACACCATGCCCTGGACTCTGCTCTCTGAATCTCCCATGCCTGCAGTGACCCCTGCAGTGGCTGAGGGGACCCTGTCACCCAGGCTCAGGGATGGTACCCCACAGGGAAGTCCATCTTGGGCAGGGTAGAATGAACAGGACTATGCTTGGAACCTGGGCTCCATGAAGGTGGACATCCTCCAGACCCCTGGAGGTTGCGGCCTACACCTAGAAGCTAGGAGCGCTAAGACGTCGCCTTTCTGGGCCAGTATGGAAGGCAACACAGGCTATGACCTGCTTGCTACCAGGTACTCTGTGCACTCTCTCAATCCTGTCAGTGTGGTACTATTACTCCTCCCTTCCCATCTTACAGTTGGGCAAACTGAGGCTCCAGGACATGGAGCAGCAGGGCCTAGCTGGAAAGTGGTGGGGCTGGGGTTCAAATCTACACCCATACAATGCTGGAATCCTTCCTTGCCCTACACTTTTACTGCACCTCATAGACCAAACCAAGCTTCTGGGGGAGACAGTCCTGGTAAGAGGCCAGGGCTGCTCACTCTAGTGCCATCGGGGCTCCAATGGAGCATGGAGGAGTGGGCATGGGGGCAGAAACTGGTTCCCTGGGTCTGGTTTCCTTGCTCATCCCACAGAGTTTGGTCTAAGAAATGTCTATTGGGTAAGCAAACAGACTAAATTCAACTGAATTTCAGGAATGTGCCTCATAAGCCAGCAACTGTCCCCAAACACAGAAGAAGAGGCTCAGCCTAGGGTCAAAGGCACCTATTCCCTCAGTGACCACTTTGGGACCCCCACGTGCCACAAACCTTGGTAGACAAAGTAGAAGCCTCTGGCTGGTACTTGGCCTTTTGCACCAAACTTGATGAGCACTTGAATGGAGGTGGCCAAGGGCAGCGACTCACCTGCTGAGGTAAGGGACAAGGAAGAGAGGAGGACAGTGAGGGCAGGCATCGGGCCCAGCAGGTATGACCCTGGCCACAAAGGAGGGGATGCCACACCCCACACAGCAGCTCCTCCCACATCCAGGCCTTATGGAAACAAGACCTCACGGTTTTACTATACACGCAAAATTCATGAACAATGTGTGTTAGAAGGTACTATGTGGGGCTGGTGCTGTGATGTAGTGGGTAAAACTTATGCCTGCACTGCTGGCATCCTATATGTGCACTGGTTCAAGTCCCAGCTGCTCCACTTCCGATCCTGTTCTCTGCTATGGCCTGGGAAAGCAGTAGAAGATGGCTCAAGTCCTTGGGCCACTGCACTCATGTAGGAAGAAGCTCTTGTCTTCTGGCTTCGGATAGGCCTAGCTCCAGCTCTTGCAGCCATTTGGGGAGTGAACCAGTGGATGGAAAATCTCTTTGTCTCTCTCTCTGCCTCTGCCTTTCTTAAACTCTTTCTTTCAAACAAATAAATGAATCTTAAAAAAAAAGGCGACACCATGTGTGGGTGTCCAAAATTTCTCACACCAATATACATGCTTTTTATCCTTTAACTGCATTTTCCACAAGCTTCTCAAAGGACGTTTATATCAGGACACTATTGAGAGTGAAAGGGCATAATAGCTATGTTGGGGCAACCAAGTGGACACAGGAGCTGTGCCATGCAAGCCAGGACATGCTGTCTCCCAACCAGTGACATGCAGCTTGGGAGGAAACCTGCAGTGGCATGGGGAGCCATGAAGGCTGCGGGCCTCTGCAGCACAAGGTGGAGGTGGGGCTGCTGTTGCTGTGGGTGAGTGTGTGTGAGCAGAAAGACAGCACCCAACAGAGCTGGGGGAAGCCCTGAAGCTCAGGGCTGTTGGTCATCATGCTGCCCCTCTGCATACACAAGGACCTCTGAGAATGGCTGCTGACCCTGCCTTGAGAAGGGAAGCAGAGATAACCAGGAACCAGGCTACAGCTGAGTGGGCAGCCATGGGAGGCCCAGCAGTGCCTCCAGATACCACATGAAGCCACTGGCCATGAGGAGCAGAGACACTGCTGTATGGCAAACTAGCATTGGCCCAGACGACTGGGCCCAGCCAGGAGTTGTTGCTCCAGTTGACAATAACAAGTTATTAATACCACCTGCCTTCATCATCACCGCCATTCCCAGCTCCTCCTGGAGAGGGATCTCAGCAGAGCTGAGCTCAGCCCTCCCAGCCTCCCCTCCTCCATCCTCAGAGTAGTGGGTCAGTGCCCCAGGGACTGCTCACAGAGCCTACAGTGGCTTCAGTTCTGGACATGCACAGGAAAGCACAGAGGAAAATCACTGGACTCAAGGGAAAATTTCTGGACTTTAAGGGAGGGAAAACTTCACTGAGAAGTCAAAGCAAACGTTTTTATGCGAGGTGTAACAAAGAACAGGCAAAAATCTCAGAAGATCCTTGGCCACGGTTGTCGCAAGGTTAAGCCAAGAATTGCATTGGTGAGGTGACAGGAGGAGACATGCCAGAGGCAGGACTGGTGGCCAGTGAAGGCACAAGAAGGTGAGATGCTGGCATCGGGCAGCTGGAGTCCACAGGAATTAAACAGTGACAGGAAGAGGAATATGGGGGCCATTCTCCTAGAAACCACAGGGAAAGAATGAAGAGATGAAAATTATCAGAGAAATGAAGGGCGACATGGAGGACAAATGGAAAAAATCCAACAGGCATATGTCAGAAATGCCAGAGAGCAAAGATAGAGAAACTGAAGAAAAACAACTTGAGAGAGGAGCTTCCTCTGCTAAGTCTTGAGATTCAGATGAAGGAGTGTGCCAAGTACCAGATCCAGTTAGTGCAAGGGAGCCTCCCTCCATCATAACACACCCAAGCGTGTGTCTCAAGACTGAAAAGGAAGAAAACATAGGAAATCTCATGCACAAAGAAGCACAGCTCCCATGCAAGGTCAGTGCATCAGGTTGTACCCCAATTTTAATACTGAATAGTGGAGTAAAACGGAACATTTGCTGGGGTATTGACCAATGGAGTGTGTGGCCCATAACCTGGTGTGCAGTCAAGTTGTCATTTATGTGATACAGCACAAGGAACACATCCCATACATGCAAGATGACAGAGAGCACTGCAGCCATCAACCCTACTGAAAGAGAAGAGGGGACAGGAGGAAATTCAAGAACTGGCAGGGATAAATAAAATCAGGAAGAATGGTTCATGTGAAACAGCTCTTATTAATGAGGGAACACATGAGCTGGAAATGTCAAAACTTGTTCTCGGGGAAGAAGTCCATAACTTAGCAGTAATTGCTAGCAATACTAACAAAACGAAGTCCAAAGATAGCAAGGAAAACTTGGAAATTTAGAGACAGGCCACACATGAATGAGGCTGTGAGAAAGCAAACTCAAAACAAGGGCAAGGAAGACACAGACCAAAATGAGGTGACCGATGTCAGATGAGTAAAACAAATAAGCCTCCTAAGAGAAAAGGTCTGGGAGAAAATGAGAGAAGACACGTCAAGCCAGTGCAGACAGGAAAACTGTTAGCAACATGAGAAGACAATAGAGTAGCTCAACTGTCAGGTGAGCTGCTTTGACACAACATTCCTGAGCAGAACCAGAACATGAAAGATGAAATGGAGACTGGTGGGTCGTGGTCCTCAAGCTTTGTTTAAAGCCCAGCACAGCTCAGGGACAGGGACAGGGACAGTGCCCCCAGCAGCAGCCTGTCCCACAGCAGAGCTTCTCCAAAGGAGGAATGAGAGAACCTGAGTCTACTGCCCTCTATCCCTAGATGTTTCCTTTGTGGGGCCTTCCAAAGATTCGTGGACAATGGAACTAAAAGATAAGCTTCATTTGGTACCAAAAAACCTGGGAATCCTTTCATAATACTTATTTTTAAGAACTTCTTAAAGACACGTTGTATGCATGGATTTCAAACTTTTTTGCGCCAAAATAAACTCATCTTTTCCTTCCATTTTCTGTAGCCCTTTAGAGGTACCATGTACTTGCATCTCTCACTCTCTCTTTCTCACTCTCTTCTCTATTTCTATAGGTCTTGTATGTCTATATCAATACCCATATCTTTATCTACAGGTGCTAAATATATGAAGGTACCTCAATGAGCCTGTCAAAAATGGAGTTAAAAGATAAATTTGTTTTAGTTCAAAAAATTAAAGCCTATGTTTAGTTTTCTCATGCTATGCATTTTCTAATGAACATTGTGCATACATCTCTTTTTACCTGTGGGTCCTATATCTATATTTACACATCTGTATCTATACTTATGGCTATCTATCTGTCCACCCACCCACCCACCCATGCATCCATTCTGTATTTCTGCTTTTATTTATCTATACCTATATCTACGTCAATATCCAAATTTACAAATTCTATATTTACACCTGTTTACCTATACATATATTTATACTTATATATCTCTATATATATACCAATTTATCCACCTGTCCACTGAGGGATTTTTAAACAATTGGGACATTCCGATCCTACACATCCTGATTCGGAATGTATGGGGTGTTGGCATTGAAAAATCATTTGGTTGAGAATCATCAAGAGAATGGAATTGAAAAATTTCCCATAATACACATTTTCAATGATGTTGTTGAACATCCCTCATATATATGGATTTCAACTTTTTTTGCACCACAATAAGCTTCTCTTTAATTCCATTTCCACCAACTTTTTGAAGCACCCTTGTATATATCAATCTGCCCTTCATGTATGCTGGCATTCTCATTGGACCATTGATGAATTTGAAAGAATATGGTTAAATTCTCTATTTCAAATAACACATCCAAATAAATAACAAAGGTATTAAAGCAAAACAATGAAGTGGAAAAGAAGTAAAGGAAAACACAGAAGAGTATTTATTTGATCTATACTAAAAGCAAAGGAGAAAACTATAAAAGAAAATAGAGATAGATTTGATATCATGGAAAATTTAAATTTTCTTTTTTTTTTTTGACAGGCAGAATTAGACAGGAGTCAGGAGCTTCCTCCAGGTCCCCCACATGGGTGCAGGGGCCCAAGGCTTTGGGCCATCTTTTACTGCTCTCCCAGGCTGTAGCAGAGAGCTGGATTGGGAAAGAAGCAGCCTGGACTCAAACCAGGGCCCATATGGGATGCCAGAGCCTCAGGCAGCAGCTTTACTCGCTACTCCACAGTGCCAGCCTCGAAAAAAATACTTACAAGGCATACAGCTAGTGAAGGACTTGTATCCAGATTATACACTGAACACTTAAAATATAATGTGGAAGGGCTGGCACTGTAGCTCAGTAGGCAAAGCCTCTACCTGAAGCGCCAGCATCCCCAGTTGGCACTAGTTGGTGTCCTGGCTGCTCTTCTTTCAATCTAGCTCTCTGCTATGGCCTGGGAAAGCAACAGAAGATGGCCCAAGTCTTTGGGCCCCCGCACCTGTGTGGGAGACTCGGAAGAAGCTCCTGGCTCCTGGTTTCGGATCAACTTAGCTCTGGCCATTGCAGCCATTTCCGGAGTGAACCAGTGGATTCACTGTCTCTCCCCTTCTCTGTCTGTAACTCTACCTCTCAAATAAATAAATACAACCTAACACATTTTTAATGAGGAAAAAGGTGACCCCTCCACCCCACAACTGGCACGGTATATAAAAGGACACTACCTCCAAAAAGCACACAAAAATACTATACTGAGTGTTAACAGTATGAAGAAATACCACTGCAAGTCTATTTGAGTAAAATCAACAGAACTGCTAGTAGGAAATGTTGACAGAAATGTGGAGTAAGAGAACATGCATTTACTGAAGAAAGGAATTCAAAACAGAACAGGAACCTGTAAGATAATTTGAGTTTCTTACAAAAGTACACATACAGCATCAGACTCCAAAAGTGTATCTCTATGTACTCAATTGACTTGGAAAACAAGCACACATAGAAACCCCTTGCATGTTCACTGTGTTATTCACAATCACTAAAAACTGTCAACTGGATGATCTTCA